GACTTTACTCCCGCCTTTTCCAGGCAAGTGCCCTGTGCGCCTCTTTCCCTTTCCTTTCGATTGCTTGGGAGGCAGGGGTCCCATCGCGCCTTTTCCCATCCCTCGGAGTAGGGGTGCAGGCGCAGGCCGGGGTGGGGGGGCACCTGTGACACGTGCCTCCTGGCACGCGGGCGCAGTAGCTGACAAGTAAGAGGGAGGGTCCTGGGCTCCGGGTCTCTGTGCAGTGCTGTGTTCTGCCACTAAGGACATTTGTTTGAACTGATTTGGGAGTCCATGCTGCGGGAAGAGACCCTGAACTCCGTCCTTCCCCCACTGGCATTCTGGCCAGTGCCAGCAGGTGATCCGGACTCCCTAGTGTGACTGAACACAAAAAGTTCCCTCTAGGGCTTGGGGCCAAGTTCCCTCTAGGGCTTGGGGCCAGCGGAGTGCACTATCGAATGCGATCACAACTGATTGGGACGCCCCAGGCACTGTCACAGCCCACTACAACTTGTTTTCTGAGGTGTGCCTCCTGACCCGAATGTCTAGAACTTTAAAAACACACCCCAAACTGGGAATACAGAAGTTACTGTTGTAATACTGTATAGTCAGCCCAACAGAGCTAACTCTTTTGACATTTTGGTACATTTCCTTCAGGCTTTCGTCTGTTCATATTAATTCTTTTAAAAAGTGCTTTTAGTTCTTTGCTTTTAAATGAGATTTGAGTGTCCTTGTGATTTTGGTGCCTCCCTCTTTGGGGACTATGAGGTTATATTTGCAAATCAATCAACAAGTGTTAAGAAAGACTTTTCTGTGCTGAGACCTTGAGGACCAGGAAGGGGGTGGAGTTGGCTGCCGCTGGAAGATGGAGGAGGCTAGGCCAGGACTTAGAGTGAGTATTAGAGAGTGTCTATAAGTGCATGGGGGTAGGGCGGAGGGGGGCAGGGAGGTACATTTTCCGGGTCCTGGGGAGCTAACTGGGGCAATTGGCAAGCTAGACCTCAGACAAAGTCATGGTGACCCCCCAGAGTGGTACAAGGCCAATAAAGACTGGTGGCTGAGCTTACTAAACTCTGTATGTATTCATTTCCAAGTGACTCTTGGAAGGAAGACAGAAGGGGGATTATCACACTATTTTGCACATGGGTAAAGAAATGCCAGGTATCCTGTTCGTGATGTTGAAGTGTGGTGGGGTAGCTAGGGGTTATGGGAGAGAGAACGCCTGCGTTCTGTGCTCCCCCTCCTTCAGGTGGGCTGCCACTGCTCCTCCGTCAATTGGATGTGAATGCTTGTTCATACAGTGCTTCCTCCACGGAGGCTAGCCCTTTGCCTATCAGTGGCAGCAGCTGAGTTATTTCTATACAAACCATAACCAGCAAGAAGATAGGAAAGCGGTTGCTTCAGGGACTCCATGCTTCTGAGTGCAAACCGACTAGCTTTTACAAAGTGTCTCTCTGGCCTGCTGTGCTTTGAAACTGAGTTACTTGCAAATGTTGATTCCATACCTCAAGTTCATAAGGTCAGATATGTTACTATGCTGCAGGAGGCACTAAGGGGGTTGTTGGTTGTACCATAGCCATAACCCGGGAAGGAGGTCATAATACAAGAAGGTTCAGTGGAGGATACCCAAGGGGAAGACATTTGACCTCTGTCTGGCAGTCGAAGCTTCTATCTGCCCAGGACACATGGATCCATTTTACAGATGCGGAGAATTACAAGCAAATTTCCAAAACCCTGGAGCTACTAGTGGTCTGTCTGCTTGTGACCTGCCCCTGGCTGTGCGTTTTGTTGCTTAGGATCAGCGTGCTTGAAGCAAAGGACACATGCAAGGGAAGTTTGTTCTGACCTTGTGTTTGAACTTGAACGTGGGAGGGCTGGGTGCTAGCTACTAGCAAAAAAAAAAAAAAAAGCTCCTGGTTTTTATTTTTGTAAACAGAATGCTCTTTACAGGATCATACCACCTGCTAGGTGGTCAGAGGCATTGCCCACTGGCCCTCCTTGTGGAACCCTGAAAAGCAATGGGGAACAGGTGGGTCTTCAGCCCAGCTGGAAAGAAGCCTTCCAGCAGTGACCTGAAGACATACAGGTAGCCGCATATACTCACAGTCGTTTGCTGCCATTTCTGCTTGTCTAGAATAAAGGGGTTTGGTTAGCTGCTTAAGTAGGCATTTGGTTAACTGGTGGCAACCCTTCACTTCCCAGAGAGGAGAGTGTTATCAGTCAGAGCAGTTACTGCTAATGAACACAGTGAAGCAGATGTATCCTCATTGGAGTCTCCACGTGGAACTGGTGTTTAAATTCCTTACAGTGAGTAAGAAGAAAGGTGTACTTCATTTCAGAACCCACAAGGATGGGGTGTATCTTTTGGTGGAGCTCTTGTGTAGCTATGAGAGCTTGGGTTCAATCACCAGGACTACAGAAGGAATTAGGGTTTAAACAGAGTAAATCCCAAGACAAGATGCATGCATCCATTCTTATTGAGCATGAGTTTGGAGTTGTATTTTGTCATATCTACCCCCGTGTTCCATACGTGTATAGTTTGCTGAGTGCAAACTTAGGGAGAGCAACATTGATTTTCTTGATGCTTGTTTCTTGTAAAAGTATAAGATGTACATTCCCAAGTTTCTTGGAAGTTTCTTTTGATGTCTTTGCATCAGGAGTGTGGGACATGTGCCCAGCTCAGAGTCCCCCGGGTGGTCCTCAGTGTCTGTGTCAGGTCTTCCTGTGGCACAAACTACATTCACACAGAACATCTATTCGCAGAGAACGTTTTTGTTTATATTTTTTGAGATGGGATCTTGCTACATAGCTTATGCAGCCTTGGACTCTTGGTGATCCTGCTGCAGTATCCTCCTAAAGAGCTGGAATTACAGACATGAGCCCACCATGCCTGGTTCTGGTTCCTATTTTGTACCTGTCCCCAGAATAGTCATGTTTTAGGTTCCTCATGTGGTGGCACAGATGTCCAGTGGGGACTACCTCTGCCACACAAGGAAAGGCAGTGAAGAGGGGGGTATCCATGATTGGGGCCATCTTGCTTGCTTAGGACATGAAAGCCCCCAGAATGCTGCAGTGTGTCAGGAAGGGGGGCAGTTTTCTTTTTCAACTCTTTACATTTACTTACTTGCTTACTTATTCTGTATGAGGTTTGTGCATGCATGTTCATGCCCATATGTTTTGTGATCTGTGAGAAGGCCAAAGGACAACTTGCTGAAGTCAGTTCTTTGCTTCCATCATGTAGGTTCCAGAGATTGATCTCAGGTAATCAGGCAGACACTCTTACCTGCTGAGCCATCTTGCTGGACCCAAGAGGCAATTCTTGAGGGTCATCTATAGATTTCCAAAACATGTACTGATCTTTTAAGAAGAGAGCAATAAGCTGGCTTTAATATGTTTTGTCTCAAACACGTAACCGTAATGGAAGATTACGCTGGAAGGGTTGTGCCAGTGAACTGCAAAAGTTTCCCTGTGAGGTACCTGTCCAGGATGGTTCAGGCGTTCCTTGGAGGCATCAGCCAACAAGTTTGGACCTTTATCTCTGTGTCCACCCCAAGCTGGGGAGCACCTCATTCCCCAGTGCTTATGGCTCGTGCTGGCTTCTCCCCCTGCACACAGTCTGATTTCTCATGTTGATTGTCTCCATTTTCTGGAAGAGACAGCAAGTGTTAGAGAGTGTCAGTAAACTGCTCGCACCATGGATGGCAGGTTCTCCATGAGTCCAGTGTCTCGCAGTTCTTGGTGTGCTGGCTCTGATGAGGGACTTCCTCAGCCCCTGGGAGGGCTGCCTCACCCTGTTTGGATGGACTGGCCTGGCTCAGCTGCTGCTGCCAGAACTCTGGTCCCAGCTGCTTCCTCAGACACGGAGGCCAGCTTTTCTTTACATCTCTCTTCCTTCCTTTCAGCTCTAATTATGGCACATTAAGTTACTGGGTCTTCCTCTTCCTTTTCTCTTTGGAGAGAGAGAGAGATAATCACAGCCATACACCCTTACAGAGGCAGGATTTGCTTCTTTTTCAAAGATACTAGAAGATATCTTTGGTAATTCTGATCACAGCTGTCCAAGGAGAGCCCAGGAAGTTTTAACCTGGGTATGTGCTAATGTCTGAAAGGCAAACCACACTCCGTAGACCAGGGCATACTTCCAAGTAGATGAAAGTATTGCCTCCTTAGCAAACAGTGTGATATGCCTCATGTGTAGGTTGTATTTATTTACTTATTTTAAAATATCTATTTTTATTTTATATGTGTGAGTGCTTGCCAGCATGTGTTTATGTGTACCATGTGCATGCCACAGCCAAGTCGTTGTGAACCACAATGTGAGGACTGGAACAGAACTCAGATCCTTTGCAAAAAGCTAGTACCTTAACCGCTGAGCCATCTCTCCAGCCCTTGTGTGGAGGTTTTGTTTTGTTTTTTTGTTTTGTTTTTTGGAACTGCTATAAGAAATAGGGACCAAGACCTGATGCTTTTAATGTACCAGGAACCAGTAGTTGGGAGATAAAAAGAAATCACTCTGGAATTGTGGGCAGAGCCTTGTATGTTGCTTCTCCTTTTACAGGCGAGCTGGTCTCCTCCAGGCTCACAGGAACCTGTTATTTCCCGCCAGAGGGTTCAGGAATCCTGGCTCTCCTCATTACTTTGGAGCACAGCTGCAGTTTGCAGCCTCACTGTGGGCCCACAATAAACTGCAAGCCCACATCTGGCCTGCCGGCGGGCGGGCAAGCAGCCCTGAGGCCACACTGGGCCATTAGCCAGGGTGTCTGAGCCTGTACACATTCCTTCCAGAACAAAGGCCTCCCTCGGCCTGGTCCTGGCGTTCTTCTCTACTTTAGTAATCCATCACCTTCCTCAGAGGCTCCCTTACTCTGTGCTGGCCATTTTGAAAATAGATCAGAAATGTGCACAGGGAACTAAACAGATCAGCCTCTGGCATCTCACAAACCTGAAGTAAAACTTCAGGCCTCACTATCCCTCTCCTGATGTCCAGGCACTGCCAGCAGGGCAGGGTCCTGGGTAGCTGTGGCTCTTGCTGCTACTGGCTTCAGGTCCAATACTTTGGTCCTGCTAAATTCCCCGTGCTGAATGGGTCTGAAAAGCAGTCAGCCTGCTGCTGGGAGGACTTCCTGGTTTGGGGTGTGTTGTCAGATCCCTGTCTGGAAAGGGAGACTGGTTTGCACAGGGAGGTCAGAGTGACAGAGGATGGGGACAGAAGTGTTTAGTTTGACTCCTGCAAACACCTGCAGAGTCAGGTTCTCAAGGGTAGAGGAAAGGCAGGCTTTGTGTATGGGTGGGGGCTGGGCTGGCATTCAGGGGGCTGTTGGGAATGTGTTGTCCTGAGTTTTACTCTTGAGGTAATGGATGCGTTTTTTGCTTTTTAGCTGCCTTTTGACTATGTTTCTATAAAACTTGCCCTTGTTGTAGACTCTGAGGTTAGAAAAATGCTAAGGAAGCTGGTTCAGTGTCTTCTGTCAGTCAGCTTTCTGTCATCGTGGCAACACACCCAAGAACATCTGTGTCAGGGAGGAACATTTTATTTTGTCTTATGCTGTTGGAGAGTTTGGCTCATGGACAGTTGGCCTGTGGCAGTGGAGCAGCATCACGGTAGGGAGTTTGGTCTGGCAACCTGGAAACAGCTAAAGAGAAAGACTCCCCCAAAGGGTCCCGATATCCCCTTCAAGGACATGCCCCACATGGCCTAACTTCCTCACCTCAGTCTCCTGAAGGTTCTACCAGCTCCTGATAGCACCACAGTTTGGAGACCAACCCTTTAACACTTTGGGCCCTTGCGGGGATGTTTAAGATACAAGTCTATTTGCGAGATCCTGTGTTTCCTGAGATTTTTCAGTTGACCAAGCTCAGCTCCTTCTATTTTACTTCATATCCTGCATGTAAAAACATTGTGGCAGCTTAAGCATTTTCCACTCTGAAAATAATGGCATAAACAGGGCTGCTGTTGACAGTCTGTGTGGGGCTTAGCTGTCTTTCTGTTGGTCATGACTGGTGTGTATCTTTGCATGTACATTTTTAGGCAGATCCTAGCTAGTCATATTCCTGGGAAGCTTTCTGGTGGGCTGAAATAAAAGAACTGAAACTTTCTTTTTCACTGTGAGAAAATCCATGTGATGTAAACATTAACATTTTAATCATTAAAAGTGTATAGCTCAGTGCTTCTCAGTGCTTTCCCATTGTTGTGCAGCCATCTGCACCGTGGGTCTCCAGAACTCTGCATCATGCAAAACCACTTTTTTCTCTGTTTCTCTCCCCCACTTCCTGGCAGCTCCCATTCTTATTCCTGTCACCATGAGGACTGTTCCATGGTCCTCCTGGAAGTGGACCCACCCAACATTTCTCCTGTGACTGGCGTATTTTACATAGTACAATGCTTTGAAGAAACATCTATGTTATTTATAGTGCATGTTAGCTGTCCTTCCTTCCCTCCTTCCCTCCATTCCTTCCTTCTTCAGGCCTAATAGTACTCCATTGTGGATCCACCATGTCTTATTGGTCCAGTTGTCAGGTAATGGCACTAAAACTGCTTCACCTTTGGGTAATGAGAGATAATGCTACTGTGGATATGGCTGTGTTGTTCCAGCTCTCTGTTCTTCTGTTAGAAGCAACCAAGAAGCAACCTCAGGTCCTTGGAGTTCTTTGACCTGGCCAAACTGCAGCTAAATACTGTATGATCACTGGCTTCTCACTGCCCACCCACTATCCTCAAGCCCTTGCTTGGCATCCACAGGGTAAAACCCAGGCCTGCAGGAAAAGGATGAAGGAGGCCTCTTACCAAGTTGTTTAGACAGATTGCATAAACTTGGTGATTAATGGAATGAGAAAGAGGGAAGAATGTCTTTCATTGAGAGAAGGAGAGAGAGAAAGAGAGAGAGAGAGAGAGAGAGAGAGAGAGAGAGAGAGACTAAGCAAGCACCTTTAGAGCTGCTCAGTTTTATTTTAAATCAAAAGGGTCTGACTTTGTTTCATGAGAATGGTTTTAATTTGGATAAATGGTTCAGTCTGGGAACCACATGCCAGCACTTATGATCTATGAACGCAATTACACAGGGTTACCTCAGCCGAGATTTGGAAGGG